GGACGGGGGCCAATTTTACACTCCTAGTAATGTGAATGTTAACATGTCAATGTGAATATTCACATTGTCAACGGGCTGGACCGGGCCCGCCCCGGGCCGTTCTTGGGCCGCGGGCGGGTTTCGCGCCGCCATGGGACGGGGGCCAATTTTACACTCCTAGTAATGTGAATGTTGACATGTCAATGTGAATATTCATATTGTCAATGGGCCAGGCCGAGCCTGCCCCAGGCTGCGGGCGGTCTTTTGGCCGCCCACGGGACGGGGGCCAATTTTATACTCTTATCAATGTGAATGTTAACATGTCAATGTGAATATTCACATTGTCGACGGCCCGGGCGGGGTCCGCCCCGGGCCGCAGGGGGGCTTTTGGCCGCCCATGGGCTGCGGGCCAATTTTATACTCTTATCAATGTGAATGTTAACATGTCAATGTGAATATTCACATTGTCGACGGCCCGGGCGGGGTCCGCCCCGGGCCGCAGGGGGGCTTTTGGCCGCCCATGGGCTGCGGGCCAATTTTATACTCTTATCAATGTGAATGTTAACATGTCAATGTGAATATTCATATTGTCAACAGGCCGGATTGGGCCTATCCCGGGTCGTCCATGGGCCGCTGGCGGGTTTCGCGCTGCCACAGGACGCAGGTCAATTTTACACTCCTATTAATGTGAATGTTAACATGTCAATGTGAATATTCATATTGTCAACGGGCCAGGCCCGCCCCGGCTCGCGGGCGGGTTTCGGGCCGCCTACGGGCCAATTTTACATTCCTACCAATGTGAATTTTAAAATATGAATGTTTACATCATTAAATTGCTAATCGTTCAAAAAATATTTATAAGGGTATCAAAATTAAATATAAGGGCATAAGTGTCCAAGAAAATGGACTTTATGGAATAAAACTATACATAGGCTAAATGGGTTAAAAAATTCCTTCATGGACTTCTTGGGTTAGAACACTTCTAAATTGGACTTATCAATAAAAATTTTATTTTTTAATACATATTTTTTTATTAAAAGTCAAAAAATTAACCTAAATATTTATAATTTTTTTCTTAACTTTTTAGTCTAAAAAGATAAAAATTTACTTATTTAGGACACCCTAAACAACCGTAAATTAAAATAGAAAGTTGAATATAGTAAATACTATAAAAAAAAAAAAGTAACTAATTAAAATAGCAAAGTAAGTTTTTAAGCTCTAATTAAAAAATTGAAAAGACTGGTGTGATGCGCTTAAATGTTTGACTTCCCAAATTAGACAAACTAAAAAGGAGTGTATTTATGGATTGGGGAGGAGTATACGTGGCGTCGTAAGATTCCTTTCACCGTCGAAATCCTACGGTTTCGCTGAAAATCAAGGTGTATCCGTAGAGCAAGGATCCTCTAGAATTTTTTTTTTTTTTAAATTTTTTTAGAGTGGTGTGTTGTATGATTGAAATTTAATGACAAGTCACATCAATTATTTAGCATTAAATCTCACCCATACAACACATCACTTTAGAAAACTTTAGAAAAAAAAAACTCTAGAGGATCCTTGGTGGTATCCGTAGCAGACATAAATCATTTTGACCAAAAAAAAAAAAAATTACAGTTATATTTTTGAGGTTTGAATTTAATACATATCACTCTTAATATTTAAGAAATTATACTAATTTTTTTATCATTGTAATTATTTAGATGGAATGAAGATATTAAACTCATACACTCTCTTTTTTTATTTTGTTTTACTTTTTTTTTTTTTTCTCCCTTTCCTTTAGTTTTTTTAATGTAATTTTCTCTATTTTTTTACTAGAAATTCTTACTTTTTATATAAGCAGGGATTTGTGAAATGAGACTATTACCCACACGGGTGAGAATGTAATTTTTAAAACGTCAAGAGGTAAGTAGTGATTGGACCAAATCTCAAGGGTGTCAACGTATTTTACTCAAAAAAAAATAGTAAATTTTGGAGTTGGAATTTTTTAAGTTTGAGATTAAAAAATTTGTTTAACAAATGTTTTTTAGACTTATATAATTTATATGAGAAAAAATAAAAATAATTATAATTTAAATATGAGATTTTATTTAATTGATTTATTTAATTTAATTTTTTTTAAAAAAACTTTTTAATTCCAATTAAAAGAGTCAAACGAAGGCATGTATCCTGTACTCTCCGCTTCTTGCTCATATCATATTTTGAGGAGAGAGAGAGAAGAGAAGGGAAGGAGAAAGATGAGTTACCAGCAAGCGCCCCAAGATCCGTATCCTCCACCACCGGGTATATCGAATCTAACCCTCACTCCCACCTTTCTCTCTTACCAATACAAACCAACCCCCTCTAGATTAATTCTGATTTCTATTAACTCACTAATCTAATTTGTTTTTGTTTTTGTTTTTATTTTTTGGGGTTTTTAAGTTCTGATTTGATATACTAATAAAATTTAAAAAGTCTGATTCATTGAGATGGGTAATCTGTTTTTAAATAGGGTATGGAACAACATACCCTCCTCCGCCTGGGTACCCCTCAGCGCCACCGGCACCGCCATACGAAGGGTACCCTCCACAGCCAGCAGGGTATCCATACCCGGCACCACCACAGCCAGGATATCAAGGTTACTTCAATCAAGGGTACCCTCCTCCACCACCACCCCCTCAATCCCAGCCTTACCAGTTGTACCATTGTGAGCATTACCAATACCAAAATCAGAGCGGTTGTACCTCATTCCTCCAAGGCTGGTATATCATATCTCTCTCTACTCTTTTTCTTTTCGTTTCGTTTCCTGTTCTGATGTGTCAATGTCCTGGGATTCTCTTTTTCAGTTACCGAACACGTGTGATAGGGATTTTTCTATGTTTTTTTTCTTCATAGAAACCTTTTCTCATTAGCTATATTGATAAAGTAAGTTACGTTAAGCATTCGATTTAATGCTTGTTCATTTTAGTTTTAGCAGGGGAATCAAAACAAAACTTGATCTAATCAATCTCTGAATTTATCATAATTCTGGATTAATTCATCCTGATGGTACAATGTTTTCTTTTTTCTTTTTCCTGTATTGCTCCATTGCATGACGATTATTGGTAGTTCCACTGGAAAGTAGTAGAACAATTAAAGGTACAAAAACCCATATTTATGTTAAGAGGGCTGCTCTGGACGGATGAGATGAGATGATGTCAACTGCTTCAGGAGGATTGATTTTTCAATTTCTGTCATGTTGAAAATCTCCTACCACATTATCAGTTTCTACATTTCCAGATGAATAAACTATTTGTGCTTGGAATGCATGAGAATGGCAGTGGGGAACTTAACTAGGTGACCTGCCCCAACCCAACACATATCTATTTACTTATATAGTTATGGTCTGGTCAATATTACTTTTTCAGAACCAGGATTGGCTCATGGTCTGGGCTGTGATGTGGATGCTTTTCAATATGATCAAGTTTCATAAGCCTTGCACGACTTGAGATAACATGATAAAGTTAACAGCAGTTTTATGGATGGGCAAGTTTAAACATAAAATTGTGAATGCAGGACACTCAACGAGCACACAATGTCTACTGTATGCTTTAGAACCAGATGGTTTCAATATATGGTATGGAACTAAAGTGCATTCGCTAAAACATCAATTGTTGAGATCAATGGTTGATACATGCTCAAGGTGAGTGGTGTTGCTATCGGCCAGTACCAAAGTGTGATATAGCTTGTTATTTGGCAAAACAGGTCTAAATCGGCACCAGAACCAAGCACGTGTGCAGCTTGAAGGCTTTGCTTTATCCTTGGTGAATGGGAAGGACTTAATTTTGGACTGGATGGAAATAATTTGATGGCAAGCATGAAATATGACAATATGAAGAGATTTAATTTATTTAGGATCACACAAAATTGGGAATTGACATATGGTTTTGCATTGTTGCTGATACTGTATTTATTTTCTTCTTGATCCCTAAGATATGTTTACTCTAGCTTTTGATGGTAGCAAAGCAACAATGAATGAGTGGAGAAGAGCACTTCACTCTGCAGTCATTAGCACTTTTTGTTTCGCCAATTGAAAGCTAGAGTAGGACATGACAAGTATCATTCATATGACAAGTAGGACATGACATCCATATGGTCATTAGACTTCCAATGGATTCAGTTCTTCTAAATGCATGAGTGCTTGAAAATTGTTAGAATATCTTAAGTATCATTCATACAACTGTGTCTCCCTCGTATCTTTGTTTCAGTCTATTTTGCTTGGGAGCATAGTGGTCAAATTGGGATTTGAATCGTGAATTGGAATGGTATTGTACCGAATCGCAAATCAAATCAAATCTAATCGTGAATCGTAAAGATTCGGTCACCTTTTTTTAATTACATAGAAAATATATCTTCACACTTAGATATTAAATATATCTAATAAATATGAAATATTTAGATATAAATTACTAAAAATACTGTGTTAAATGATGATCATGCGATCTAGGTAAGAAGTTAACATTGATTCCCATGTTTACTACTGCACCTTTTCCCTTTTAAAAATTATTTATTACCAACCGTTCTTAATGAAGAAGGCACATGACGACAAACTTTCAATTTCCAAGTAACGATAACGTAACAACAATGTTTTTAACTTTTTACAATGTTAAAAAATCAAAATCTTCTAACTTTTTCAAAAATCTCACTTGATGCCTTCAAAAAATTCATTTTGTAAATGCAAGTATTTAGATAAAATTGAATATGTAAGCCTAGAATATTGTAGAGAGAGAGAGTTCAAAAAAAAAAAAATTCTGCAGTTTGAGTATTTGAGAGTAAATAAGAAGGAAGAGAAAGTCAAAAGATGACATATAGTAATCCTAGCGACCTTAAAAAGGTTGTATGAACCCTTTTCCAATAATAAAAATCCAAAAAAGAAAGCCAAATATCGATTTTAGCAAATCGAATTGATTCACCGATTCACCTACGATTCATAGCTATTTGCAATTCACACAACCTGTTCGAATTGATTACCTACTAAATCGAATTGAATCGAATCATACAATTCTAATAACAGAGCTTGGGAATTGTTGGTAATTACAATCATTTATGTTGTGTTTGGATCATAGATTTGAATAGAGATTTGTGAAAATGGAAAGGAATAAGGTGTTTGCCTCATGCTATGTTTGGATCATGGATTGGAAAGGGAAATGGAGAAAAAAGTTAACTTATATTTCATTCACATTTTCCTCACCTTTTCCTTTATCCTTTCTAAATTCATGATCCAAACACAGCCTTAGAATTTTGTTAAAGATCCCTTTCGATCTGCATAGGCCACTTTTATATGATGATTGACAATCACATAATAATTTGATAATTTTTTACCACCTGCAGTTTGGCTGCGCTTTGTTGCTGCTGTCTGATGGAGGAATGCTTCTACTAAGCCACTATGAACTTTACATGGTGTATGTGGGGTGTCCTCTGGTAATTCTTTATGTGAGGTCTTTGTAATTTCTGTTCTCCGTATCTGTTATCTTCTCCATGTTTTCTCGAATCTGTGCCCCTTCTCTGGTTGTTAAAGAGGTTTTATTATGAGACATGTGTGCCTATTTGAATTATTGGTTGTGGAAGTTTGGATTGTTTCCTGATGTTTGTAAACTTGAGCTACTGGTATTATTTGTACAGATCAAATGCTCTTTAGCATGTACCAGTTTCTTCTCTTCTCTTGTAGGGCTTGCTTCTTTTGGCACCAAGCTGGTCTGTATTCCTTGTGTGTTATCAAGATCAAGAGATAACTGTAATCAAGTTTTTCCATTATGAAGTGTCAAATATGAGCAAAAAAAATTTGTGTAGTGCCAAATGATCCTCTGGTCTACGAGTTAACAAACAAGCCCTGTGCAAGCAGTTTCTCATATGTTGGAACCGGAAGCCCTCCCCCACTTATGGCTTTTAGTTAACCCTCCCTATGGATGGCCTTTGTTGTGTCAATGTTTGTTGTGTTCCTAGGACTCCAAACAGTGGCTCTTTGGGTTGGAAATGCTGCCAAACTAGGTTGGTTCTCTCACCCGGACTGCTCTGTCTCCCCCTCCACAAGCCCTGTTTTCCTTGCTGCATTCTCTGACCTCCGCTTTGGAGATTCACTTTCTGAAAAAAATAAAAATAAAAATTCCTACCTCCAAAACCCCCATCATTCCTTTCTTCAAAAACAGAAACCAAAATTAGCCAGGAATTTATTACAACCTTGCAACCTGGGAAACACTGTCAAATGTAAGAATTGGCAAAAAATAATGGATTGAACCCTTCTGACTAATTATTATGAGCGCCTAGATCCCTGTTAAGATAGCGCTTAGATCCTTGGGAAGATATCTTGCAGTAGCATGAGTGTGACATCATCTTGCTATGGCTGACCAGATATCAATTTGTTCAGGGTTATTTATCTCCGTTTCTATATTAATAACAAATAATGCTACAAGTCATCATGAATAAAAGAGGTGCAATATTGAGAGAGAGAGAGCATTCTAACATTTTGCAATTATTGGCAATCACAACTCGAATCTATTATGAAGATCCATCCCTCAATTTTGTTCTAGTTTACTATTTTTCACAAAAAACAGGAGTTGCTAGTCCGATTTTCGGACTGCTGGTATTGGATTGGGGGCACTTCATCTCCAAGTTTGAGAATGACATTTCAAACATCTCCTTGCTTAGAAATTGACATCCACGCAATTCCCCAGGACCAAAGCACTGGCTAGAAGCTGTTTGACAGATTTATTTATGAACAATGCTTAGTGCCGTTTGGTAACACTTACGTTTTCAGTTTTCTGTTTATATTTACAAAAATTTAAAAACTCAAATAAAAACTTGTTTGGTAAAATTTTTGATTTATAAATCAGTGATATCAGTTTATAAATTTGACCAAAAAATGAAAACACAAAAAATATGTTTCCATTTTGAGTTTTCAGTTTTTTTTTTTACCACCCAACACTAGCTACCACCCGCCACAAATGAAAATGATATTTGAATTTTTCATTCTTTTGTTTTTTTAAAAAGAGAATAAAATTTCCCCCCCCCCCCCCTCCCTCTCCCCTCTTTTTTGTGGCTTCCCTTTCCTTTTCGTTTTAGGTTAGGTTGTCAAATGAGGTCGCCCACTAGTGTGAGTAGTTAGTACATGATTCAGCTCCACTCTTTTGAAGTCCAAATCAATAAATTGCCCAAGAATTTGCCGTTTCTACTGCAGGTCAAATCTGAGACGCAGTGGCTGTAAAAAGCCTCACAATTATGAGGCCAGTTCATCTCTTCAATACCCAATATCGTTCACCCTCGTAGCCATGTAGTATTTAGTATATTTATAAACAAAATCTATATATGAAAATGAAGATCACTCACTTATCAATAAAACCACCAAACATATACCTAAATCATCATACTAAAAATCCATACAGCGTTTCACCTAAACAAAGGTACAACTAAATCATAACAAATAATTGGTCTGGTCATGCCAATGCATTCATAATCTACAATGTCCACACAAAATCTGGTGCATCTCCCCTTGGTCCAACCAATGTCCGATACAGGTACATCTTCTCTACTTTTTGTCTCTCATCAGGGATAGCAGCCTCTATCTGGCCGCTTTCATTTATGATCTCCACATTAAGGCTTGGCATCTTCTTTGCAAGTGTCTTGCACCCTTCAAGTGTAACTTCACAGGACGACATCCAAAGGGATCGCATTGTTTCATACTTTCCCACGTCCGTCAGAAGTGCCACGTCACCAAAAGGGCTATCCATGATCTCTAGCTTTTTAAGCTTCTTGCATCCATTCAAAACATAAAGCATTCCCTTGTCACTGTTTCCAGCAAATGCGACCGAAAGCATTTCAAGCTGCTCGGCATACATTCCGATATAAAGGAATACCTGGTCTGTCAGAAGGCCAGAGAGTGATAAGCGTCTGAGACCCTTGCAAGATTGAACAATCGCTCCAAAACCCTCATCCAGTGGCTGCTGTGTCACATGGTCTGGTTTTGTGGGGTTGAGGATGCACAATCTAAAACTGGTAAAATTTGGGCAATTCTTGGCCACAGTGATTAGGGCTGCGTTTGTCATCTGCTGGCAGAAGTACAGTAACGAATGAAGCTTCGGACAACCAGAAGATATAGCCACCAAGCCTTCTTCAGTAACAGCAGCATGACCAACCCCATGAAGATCAGATGGGAAAACCCTCAACTCCTGTAATTCTTTACATGTGGAAGCCACAACACATAAGCCTTTATCTCCAATGCAATCCAATATCTGTAGAATTGATATGAAGCTGTCATTCTAACAAAATTAAGGTGAAAAACAAAGTCCACAATTTGAATATATAACAGGTTGAGAAGACAGACCCATAAGCGCTGAAGTTTCCTGCAGTAACGGATTAGCTTTGTAAGCTCGCTACCATGAATCCCTGGAGCATAGCTCAAGTTCAGCGAGGTCAGGTTCAACCAAATTGGGTAGATAGCAGTCAAGCAGCAAGGAGCAACCTCCAAGAACCCTGATAAGCTCCTAATTGATATGCACTTCTCGATGACACTCTTTAGTTTGTGGTATGTCTCTGAATCTGGATCACTGACAAAGGCCCCCGTACCTAAGTCTACCAATTGGGGTGCTTGAGCCAAAATCTTATGAAGAGTATCAAGTGGCACTGCGTGGTTTAACCTCAAACTTCTAAGACTACGACACCTTGTCACCAGTCTCTCAAGAGCAGCCAAATTAACTTCTCCTTTGAGACATGCAAAATTCAGGGAGACAAGTGATGTACAACTCTCAGGAAAGCAACTAAGCCACTGGCCTCTGTGATCCTCAACTTCATTTTCTTGCAAGTCTAGCTCCCTAAGAAACCTATATCGCCAAGTGAAAAGGGGGAAAAAACAGAGCAAAGTCAGATCAGAGACAGTCTTGGGCAAAACACACTGGACTTGGCTATTACGATCCACCAGCAAATCCTTCACACCTTAATAATTATCATTATGCATTTCTTTACCAACATTCATTGTCATGGTGAATTATTTTCACAGAACACAGCTATTAAATAATCAAGATACATCAGGTTCTGAGACTTCTATGGAGAACATAAAGTCAGGTCCTGTTTAAATGTCCCCTAAATTTGAACAACTCTATTTAGATTATATATTTCAATGCAAAAATTCATCATTTCAAATGCAGTCATTTCGAAAATGGTAGACCATCTCAAAACTGGCTTTTAATGTTGATTGTTGTCATTTCAAGGAAGCCCATAAATAAAATGAAAACCCACAAATGACCACATTTGGATGAGATGCCCTGAGATCCCCTATCTTTGTAAATGGCTTCATTTAAGATGATGAACTTCTACATAAAAATGCTAAGTAGTTGTGAATGAGAAAATTAAGAATTGAGGGGACATCCAACCAGGCCCTTACTCACAAGCAAGGACACACACACACAGCTCCAGCAGAAATTACAGAATATATTAGACTTGGAATATTAAAAATGCTAAGTAGCTAGCAAGTTTAATTCAATTATCAGCTGGCATATAGTACCAGCTCCCAACTTTCTAACAAGGTCAACAATATCAACTAAAGGATAAATTTGATGAAACAAAAAATGATGTTATCCGGAAGATCACACTATAAATCTTGTTCGTTTAGTTCAACTCAACACTTAACCTTCCTCAGTACAATTGCCAGCCTCCCAAATTAAAAGTAACCAACTTCCAGCAGAAATCTTTAAAATTAAAGAAATAAGTAACCCCAAACCATAACAATATCGTGTACCAAAAAAGACAGTCAAAACAAAAGTTATATACCATAGTCAAGAATGAAGCAAATCAGCTAAAAAATTGGTAGTCATGTCCAAAACAAGAAAAGAACTAGAACAACAAAACTGTGATGCATACATAGTATATATACCTGCAATTGGAAGCTATGGCAGCGATGCCATCAGTGGTGAACCCCTCACAGCTAACTAAAACCAAAGACTTGAAATTTACAAAAGATCGAGAAAGTAGGTCAAGACCCTCGTCGGAAACCAGCATCCTCTTTAAGCGCAGGCCCTCCAGATTGACACCATTCTTGGCCATGGCTTCAATCCATGGGTACACAAAGCCTCCCCAATCATGCGGGACCAAATTGAAGTCCGCAAAATGGGGCTTTCCTTTCAACGTTAGCGATCTAACCCTAGGAAACCTCTCGATCAATTTCTCCGGACTGATTGCATAACAATTCCCTACGAATACATTTTCTCTGCTGACGATGTACCATGTTTGTTCATGAAATTGACAAGACACAGGGACCTAACAATATGGGACCAAATTGAAGTCCGCAAAATGGGGCTTTCCTTTCAACGTTAGAGACCTAACTCTAGGAAACCTCTTGATCAACTTCTCCAAACTAATTACGTAACAATTCATTACGAATACACTTTCTCTGTTGAACCTCTCCACCCTATACCATGACTTGCACACCACTGACACGGCATTGCGGTCTCTGTGTGACGTCAAGAAATCAAATACATGCTCTAACACCTCTTCGGGAAAGTAATTCATTCTTCCACAATCAAAAATATACTAAACATTCATATGCAATCCCAAAACACACACACACAAAAAAAAAAAAATTCTCTGCTTTCCGAGATGAAGACTCACTCTACTCGAGAAAAACCACAAATTGATTCGATTTAACCCCTCATAACTCCATAAATAACTTTGATTAGCTGTCAAAAACCAGTATAAATTAACAAGCTAAAAATTTCAAAATCGTCAAGAAAATGGACCATTTGACCTAGATCTCGTGACAACCGATTTCAAATTTCCATGAGTGAGACTAGATCTAAGGTTTCGTGGAAAGCGAAAAAAAGACGAAAGAAAAAATCTTACATATCCTACTAGTCTTTCAAATTAGATCTGAAAGAAAAAAAAAAAATGAAAAAGAGAGAAATAAGAAAAAGGTTATTGGATAAGAAAATAGATAGAAATTTGTAGCTGAGTTATCATCTTCAAATCAAAAAAGAATGATGATTACAAAGTGAGAGGGGAAAACATAAACATAAGAAACAGATTGAAATTCATAGATCTGATTATCTAAAAATCCATTTTTACAGTAAATCCGAGCTAATAAATCGAAAAGAGGAAGAAGAAACTCAGAGAGAGAAAACGAACAACAAACCCTCCCCCCATCTATCTCTTTCTCTCTCTCGCCTCCTGTTTCTATCTATCTATCTTCATTACTAGTAGTAGTCACTACTCGTGTTAAAGCTATCTAGCTCAAAGTCTCGCGCTCTCTCTCTCTCTTCCGTCAGAGAAAGAGAAGTCACCCAGAGTGACCCAACCCAACCCAACCCAACCCATGCAAAGTGTAACCATGGTTGAGAATAGCCATGCGGAGTATAGTCGGAGTAGTAACTGTGATTAGGTAAGGTGCGAGATCAGTGGTCAGCGTCGCGGGGATGGAAAAAGTTTAGAAGAGCGAATCCTGAACGTTGAGTGGCGTAACATACACCACCATTTTCTATGTCCCGTTTGTTTTGGGTTATAGCAAGGGGATTAGGATTACTAGTACCTTGGGATTAGTATATGGGGTGTTTGTTTTGAGAGATAGCCTTGGGACTATTAATACCTTGGGACTAACTAATACCTTGGTATTACTAATACCCTTGGGGAGGGGATTCATAGTGAGGAGGTAGAGATGGTATTAGAAAAATAGTGAGGGGATTAGAAATTTTTTTATTTTTTTTATTTTTTATATATTGGAAATTTTTTTTAAAATATAATTTTTAATTTTTTATATTTTTTTATTTGTTTTATTATTTTATATAAAAATAATTTAACAATTCCTCACTACTAATCCCCTCACTATCAATCCCCTCACTAACAATCCCCTCATTATTAATCCCCTCACTATCAATCCCCTCCATTCCATCTCTGGAAACAAACGGGGCCATAATGTATCCCACTAATCCCTCAAATTTAGATTGTATCTTGGGACAAATCCAAACTGTATTTTTGATTATTGATATTTTACAAAACGACAACCACCTATCCGATAAGAAAAATGCTATCAAACCATCTTTAGGAATTATAATTTATCCCGAATGGGTTAAGTGGTAGAAATTAAATTGATGAAGTGTGGAGTTTATGAGTAAAATGAATTTGAACTATTGATTTTTTTTCCTAAATAAATTTTGAATTGATAAAAATAAGTTTGTATTAAAACTCGACGGAGTAATCATCAAAATGAATAGGAGAGAAACTTTTCATTTAAATACTTATTTAATTATCATAAAAAAATAAAAATCTTAATTTATTAAATTTTAATATGATTAATGATATATCTTGACAAGTGTTGAGACTTGCCTAGTAATTATTTTGTGTGTCAGAAAGTTTCTTTACTTTTCTGATTTTATGGGTTGGTGAAAAAATTATTGGTTAGTTTACGGAATGATCATATTTATGATTGATTATAAGTTTTTATATTTAAAATCTTTTTATTAATTAAAACACACGTATTACATGATAGTGTTTCAGAATCAATCAATAACTTTTTGTGTGGTATTAAAAAAAATTATTGATTGATTTTCAGAAGTCACGTTATCATATCTATACTAATCACAAATTTATATGTCTTTTTATATTTTTTAATCACTTAATATAAAATTATAATATATATAAAGTACCATCTTTAAACCAATCAAATACTTCTTGTGGTGCTGATACACATCATCATAGCTTTTAATGATTAGGAAATTTCAGATAAAAAACAACGTAAATGATTTTGACAAAATTTAGGACTATTTTAAATCCAGACAAAAATTAATAATAAGAGTTTTAACTTATACGAGTAATTAATATTTCATTACCTTATTGTGCACTGTAGTATGGGACGGCAGTCCGATTTATTATTAGAAACATCATGAATATATATTTTTTTGTGGTCTTAACTTTTTTATCCAAAAAAAGACTCGTATTTTTATTTATAAAAAAATTGAACTTTATAAAACTGGGCCTTAAAAGTTGGTGTCAAAAGAATCATAATAGGAAATTATAAGTTGGTGTCAAAAGAATCATAATAGGAAATTATTAAACCAGTTTGTTGCACCCACATGATTTTCCCTATCATTCGGATAATTGGCAAACTCCACCATAAGACATAGGGGTGTTTTAAAAAGATAGTTAAAAATTATTTTTTAATTTTTTTGTGAAAGAGGAAAGTAAATTAAAAGTTAAATTATTTTTTAATTTTTTTGTGAAAGAGGAAAGTAAATTAAAAGTTAAAAAATAACTTTTAACACACTTTATAAGATAGGCCTTATTTATTAGTAATATTTATATCATAGTGGTTTTTTTTCATAAAAAAAAATATCAAAATCATGGTGAATATGTAGGATCCTTATATGGTGCCATCGACATGGGCTCTTGTAATAAGCCAATAAGCCATTTGATAGCATTGATTTTAAAAACTTTGAAGACTCAAAAATAATAATAATAATAATAATAATAATAATAAATAAATTTAAAAGACACACTATTAGAAAAAGGGGCTTTAGACGTAAAACTTTTTGCGACAGTTTAAAATCCGTCTCAAAAAGCAAGTATTTGCGATGACAAATGAAGCCGTTGCGAAACTTTTTGCGACAGATTGATTTCTGCCGCAAAAGCTACACATTTGAGACGGATAAAATAATTCGTCACTAATAGTATTTGTTGAGACAAAAAATGACCGTTGCTAATAAATAAGCAAAAAGATGTTATCATTGGCGACGAAAACAAATTATCCATCGCAAAAGGATCCATCAGTTGTAACAGATACTAAACTGTGGCAAAAAAAATAATTAAAAAGACATAGTTTTATGTTTTTGTGCATTTGTTTATCCATCACAAATAATACAAACCCTAACTCCCCCTATTTCATTCTTACGCTATATCTCTTCCCTCCCATTGGTGTCGCCTCACTTCGCCATCCTCCTACCGATGTCACCCCACTCCGCCATCCTCTGACGCCGTCATCTTCCCACCAACGATCATTTAAGAAGAAAGTGTAGCAAAGCCCGATCAGAGCTATCTGAGGGTCTCTCTCTCTCTCTCTCTCTCTATTTACGAAAAGCTCATATAGATTTTTGTATTTTTTTTGTTTGATTTAGTTTGATCTTTCACATTTGGAGATCAGGTCTTTTCTTATTCGATTCGATTTGTTGAATCCAGAATTTTATTTTATTTTATTTTGAATAGTTCAACAATTACTAGTTTTCTTTTTTGGAACCCTAGATCCTTGTTGTTGAAGCCCTAGGTCAGCGAATCTCTATTCTGAATCAAGTTCCTTTAAGTTGTTCTCAATCGACAGTCGACAATCTTTTGGAGGTGCGAATTGCAAATCTATCTCTCTCTCTCTCTCTCTCTAATAACGAACAGAGCTATGTTCCCAATCTCTGTTGTTGTACATTTTCGATGTCATCGAAGATGCTTTCAAGATCACACTGATTATCTGCATGTGAGGTGAGTTCTCGTTGATTCATCCAAATTTGTTCGATTTTTATCATTTTGATTGTTGTTAAGGGTGTAATTTTAACTTATATTTTGGTCGATTGATGCTTATTTTATATTAATCTATAAATCTAGAGTGTTCTTGTTCTGTTTCTTTAGGTTTTATAAATTGATTTTGTGTGTATGTTTTCTCAAGTGTTTGGTATAGAACACAAAAGTTTCTAGGGTTTTGATTTTGGTTTTTTAATTTTGTATAATTTTGAGTTTTGAAAGCTGTTAATTTGATGAAGCTAGGGTTTATGAGGTTAATTTGATGAAGCTAGGGTTGAGTGGAAGTTAATAGGGAAGGTGCATTGATACTTACACAACTATGGCTTTAGTTTTCGAGTTTGAATAAGACTTTGACTAGAAAAATAAAGCCCTAAGCAAGCACATGTGGGGTTTCACACTATGTTGGGCTGCTTTGACTTCACACACTAGCATTTTATAATCTCCACCTCTACTTTTATTTTTGGGAAGCCATTCCAAAACAAAATTTGGATAGTTATAGTAATATCCAGAGTATCTCCACTTTTTTTTTTTTTAATTCATTCCAAACAAACATTGGGTGGTTATATGTGTGTGCATTGACTATACTATAACCTTTCATTAAAAGCAAATTAAAAACTAACTAGTCAGGCTTGTGCTTGGTTGGAATATTGTTCATGAAAATATTTTTTGGAAAAAAAAAAAATAGACATAACTTTTCTTTTCTTTTCTTTTCTTTCTTTCTTTTTTGGTTAATTGTTCCATTTATAAAAAAATTTACATACAAAAATTATTTAAATCTTCCCTTGAAATACTATTACCTATACTTTTCACGAAAAGGATTCGAGAAAAGTTTCTTTCAAAGAAATTGTTACAGTGAAACCCACATTTTTTTGGGGATGCAAAAAAGAAAAACAATTTGAATTTTCTTTTTCCTTACCCATCAATTTAACCCAGCCTACTTGTCCTGGATAAAATACAACCTCCACCTTCATCTGAAAAATTGTTCCACTTTTTAGTTTGAAATTCATGTTGAAATTTTCTACTAAGTATCTAAACTGAATTTATTCTGATGCGAAGGAATTTTTGAAATGTGATATATGATTGGCCAAGGGAAAGGGATTAAAATTTATACATGTCTTTCATGTTGTCTTTTAAGCATAAGACACAGATGTTCATCTATAAAATATTAAAAAAGGAGCCGCAAATTTTAGTTCTTATGTAAAGCACACTTATGAAAAAGGGTTTATTGTATAAGGCTTGAATTCCATTTAAACTGTTTTGAGTGTTCATTAGTGAATAATTATGTACTATACTTCTCTATTTGTTTTTTCTAAGCCGTTACACATTCCCATAGCATAAAGGTTTATGTGTAGTTTCTTTTTCAGTAATTTGTATGCCTCTATTTTGCAGGTCTCCAGGTACATAGTTTGAAAACTGATCATTATCAAGGTTGGTAACTCTTGCTTCTCACAGGAAATGCATGTATAAAGAAGATTCTGCTTAGTCATTGTCTCCAAGAACTAATGAAACTACACCAGGTAATATGCTTGCAATTATTCCCAACTCACTAACCATCTACAATAGGAAGATATTATATTTTTACTTAGGCTGTTTCTACTATCTTTGGTAAATTTGTTAATCTTTAACTTTAAAAGTGTTCTCTCTATTACTTTGCGGGAATTTGTTAATCTTTAACTTCGAAAGTGTTGTTCTCTCTGTAACTTTGTGGGATTACCATGAAGTGATTTGTTGTAGACTTTTAAAGGATGATCATTTCCATATATTATTCCCCACCTTGTCGTGG